CTTGATCTAATTCACAAATATCTCAATTACAGTTAAGTAGAAATTAATTGTACTCAGTTGTGTTTTAGGCACGAAAACAGTCCAGTACATTATAGTTAAACACATTTTTATATTGAAATAATGAAGATTTCTGTGCCACCCCAGACTGGTTGCTGGCCCCTCCCTGGCCACCCCTATGAAAACATTCTGGCTCCGCCACTGATGGCAGGTAAGCCATATAAATGACAGAAATAAAACAATTGACAACAAAAATCATGAATCATTTTGTTGTGTCTCACTTCTAGGGGCCCCAGGGCAATTCTGTCAATCCTGACCTGTAACATTGCATTTACTATACTATACTGCCGCTCATGCAGTTATCATTTACATATGTGAGTGTAATGTGTTAGTGTTATAACAGTTTGTTGGTATTTTCATGTTCTTTTTCAAATTAACGGAATGCTGCAATTTTAAATCCACCATTGATCCCACAATCACTGCTGAACGGCTTAAAAATTACGTGCAAAGAAAGCATGAAATATGGTAAATACTGACCTTCATGAAGCTTCAAGTCACAAGACATTATTGTCACATATATACACGTGTGCACAATGGTACATGTCATTTGTGGTGTGTGTGTTTTTTTCTAGCATTTAAAGTGTTAATTGAATCATCTGAGGCAGCAGGAGATTTCGTGACCTACAAAGCAAAAGTTAAAGCAGTGCTCAAAAAAGGCAAGAGTATATTGAGTATGATTTGTTAGCAAGTCAAGCTGTAAATAATTTGAATGGTTTAAAACAAAATGACTTGAATAAGCAATTTAAAGAAACAAGTTTCATAACAGCTTCAATTCAACCTCTTAAATTCTCTTCTGCAGAACAAACAGATGACTTAAAAACAGATTCAGAAATTGATTTGGTGAAAAAGGCAACTTGCAGTTCAACAAATTTCGAAGTTGGCAAGCAGTATCTGGTTATGACTGCTGAAAGTATTAAGATAAAAGTGAATCGTGGTTATATGTACTTGTTTGTTTGTTTGTTTGGTTGGTTTTCTTTTGATAATTTTTTAAAAGCCACAAATTAATCAAAAATGTCTTTAATTCCTTAATTGGTTGCGTTGTAGGGTCAATTAGTATGACGTATTATAAAGTGTTTCTCATTTACTATTATGTACAGAAGCCTCAAAACTGATTTTCCTTATACCATGTTTTAGGTATAGCCTAAGTTTCCTTTGGACTTGCATGCTTGGGTCGACTGGTGGCCACTTGACTATGACTGCAGAGATGCTGCCTGCAAACAATACGCCAGTGATTTGGAGGATTTTGAATTTGATTTCTTATTATCTGGCTGTTAAAATTAAGTGATACATTGCATGTCAATAGAAGAGCTAATTTGTGTGCTCTTCTATTCTATAGCAATATAATCTAAAAGAAATGGCATTTAAGAATTTGGGAATAAACAGAAACTTTTAAATAAAACTTTTTTTCAAAGTACCTCAAAATATGTGATTCTTATCAACCACATACATATGCAACATTAAACAAAAAAAAGCATTACATGCAATGTACCTCAAAAATTGCGTTGCAAACAGATGTTTAGGAAAGTGTTAGTTGTTATTCATGTATGTACATGCAGTTATTATATATTATTTTGCTTAACACTAGTGTGAAAACACTTTCAGGTTGTTTGTATGTAAAGTCTGCTTTGAGGGGACACGACCATGAAGACATCTTTATCATATTCAAAATCAAGTTGGGGTTGAAAGAGTTAATTTTGGTAGTAGAAGAGAAGATACAATTATTACCAGACTTCGTATTGGTCATACTGTTTTAAATTCTTCTCTATATAAAATGAATAAGCATGAGTCTGGGAACTGTAGTCTGTGTGGATTACCAGAAACAGTAGAGCATGCACTATTACGCTTATGATAATGAAAGAGCATTTCTGTTGGAAGAATTAAAAGAAATAGGGATAGAAAATATGACACTTAAAGCGGGAATGCACCTATCGTTTGTTTGCCAACCGCCATAAAACTCCAAAAGAAGAAGAAGAAGACACGACCATATGCACAGGACTCTTATTTTGAAACCACTGCAGCTGCGTCACATGATCCAAACATCACCGCGAATCCTTTGAGTTCATGTTGGAGATTCAGACAACAAGAGAATGATAGCTCAGTTTAAAACCTTCAGAAACACATGGACTAAATAATGAGACCTGGGACACGAGATAAACATAACAGGCTTGTATCCGCGTTAACAGCTTCTCTAAGAAAGAATCATAATAACCTGACGGTCGCTGAATGATCTCTAGGTATCCTAATAGGTCGCTATGGAAACTGGGCTAACAAAAGTTGTCCAGTCTTTGTGAAACATTGAATGAACATGTACTTAAATGTAAAACTGCTTTTTAATATATATTAAAAACATTTTAGTTATTAGATGACTATAGTTCTTTGCATTTTGTCAGATTTGGACACAACTGGATTTGGTCATTGTAATTTTAACAAAGCAAAATAAACTATGTTAGCAGTAACGTTTTAGCAGTCGAGATGGTTTAGGATGAGCATTGTATTCGCTGGCATCAGATAATATTAATATCCCATGAGAATAAAATGAAAAGATTGGATCAGATGCGCAAACGATCACCAACAGCGGGATCCAAATGTTCCAAGAGCCTCCAGAGCAAAACTGTGTCCCCAAACGCCATCTCATGGTCGGAGACTGAGGAAGGAGGTCTTCGAGAAGATCCCAGTGATGATGGTAGATCAGTTTTTATTCCTATGTCATACAGTACAGTCGTGACCAAATGTTTTGGCAGTGACATAAAGTTTGTGTTTTGCAAAGTTCGCAGCTTAAGCTGTTGTGGTGTTCATTCACATTGTTTCTAGATTATTGTGTAGAGTGATCAGATGCATTTTAAATAATTGCTAAAAGCTTCATTGGCCAAAAAATGAACTTTTCACAAAAACAAATTTCACTGTTTTTGATCCTGACACAAAATGACCAGCTAACATTAATTGACTAATCATATCAGCAGCACATGTGAAAGTGTGAATGAGAAACGCTACCATGAGTCCTGTGTTGTGATAACAGTGAAGCATCCTGAGACCATCCATGTGTGGGGTTGCATTTCATGTGCTTATCATTGCTTTTCAGTATACCATAGAAACGTGAAAAAATAATCTACAAAATACTGAAGCAGCAAGCTTTGCAAAACACAAAATTTATGTCACTGCCAAAACTTTTGGCCATGACTGTACAGGAGCCACCCTTGTCTGTCTTTTTTAGGTCCTATTAAAGTCATTCAACAAGTGGATGTTTCTTCAACTTTGGGTTTGTATCCTAGGGGTTGATTTTTTTTTAATGAAAACTTACTGAGTTCACCATGCCTTCATTATTTCTGGTATTTTCATTTTATGTATAGATGTTCTTGTTTTACTCTTGTCTCAGACCTTTTACTCTAAAACTATGGAACTCCATCAGTAAAATGTTAATTATTTCTTGTTTAAAAGAAGAGAGAGCGAAATAAGCATTAATCATTTTAATATTTATAGTGTGAAAATATCCTCTTTTTTTTTTTTTTGTTCAATTATTATGATTTTCATTCATCATAAACAGTTTTGGTCCTAGTACAGTTTCATTACCAGTTAGTGTACTTGTTAGCCAAAAAGACAGTGTCTGTAAAAAGATTGGGCCCCACTTTATATTAGGTGGCCTTAACTTACATTTAAATGAATCATTTGTAACAATTCACTTATTGTGTACATACACGTTTTTACATTGTACTTATATATTTTTTTTTAAATACCTGAATGTAATTACATCTGTAATTAATTGCACCTTAACCCACCTTTAAACCTACCCATTCCACCAAACCTGTCCCTAACCTTACCCGTATCCCACCTCAATAGCAGCAAAAGTGTTGTGCAATACAATATGAACACAATAAGTACATTGTACTTATTTTTTGATGTAAGTACATAGTAGTTAGCAAAATATTTCAGCTTGTCAGATCATTAATTGCTTGGCTGCCACCAGTAGTTTTCAATATCTGCACTTTGAATTTTGTCACTCATTTACACAAACATCTACTCATAGACAAAAGGCAATATAAGGGGACAAGATACATCACAGAAGACCTGATCAGGAGATTGACTAAATGTGAAAATTTAGTCCTTGTGGGGACCCTGAATTTGTCTACGTCTGCAGGAAGTGACAAACAATTTCGAGTAAGATTTGGACATTATCTGGTTAATGCTCAGTGTGAGAGGTAACATTAGTTGCATTCATTTTTGCATTAATTTATTGACTTCTGTGCATTTTTTTTTTTTTTAGTATATTGAAAATTTGGATAAGTGTGAGCGCTTACACGTTCTCAACCTCAGTAACAACAGGATCGAGAGAATCGAGAAACTAGAGAAACTATGTCAATTACGGGAACTCCACCTTTCCAGTAACAGGATACGGTAAGAATGGGACATTTGTCTGCTTAACAAGAAACATTTCCTCACAATATATATTTCATAGTCTTGTCACAGAATGAAAGATACAATGTCCTAAAGGCCAATACAAGTTTTGACATTTATATTTCATTTATCTGCAGAAAAATTGAAGGTCTAGAGCACATGACAAATCTTCAGGTTCTGAATTTGGCCTTCAACAACATTGAACATCTTCCAGTTTGGATAGCAAAGAAGCTCAGATCTCTTCATACTATACATCTACAGAGAAACAAGATATTCTCAGTGGGTACAATTTTTGTTAATCATGTGTTTAAAACAGCCAATCAACAAAAGAGTTCTCAAACAGATCGCTCACCCAAAAAAAAAAAAAAATTAAAAATTGTTTTTAATTGTTTTTCTCACCCTCATATCATTTCAAACCTGTATAACTTTCTTTCTTCTGTGGAACATAAAAAAGATATTTTGAAAAATGTCTCACTGTTTTTGTCAGTACACTGAAAGTCAAAGGGCACCAAATCTGTTTGGTTACCAACTTTCTTCAAAATATCTCCTTTTGTGTTAAGCAGAATAAAAAAAAAGAAAAAAGTCAGATTTGGAAGTAAGGGTGATAGTAATGACAGAATTTTCAGTTTTGGGTGAATGTTCCTTTAATATCATATATTTCACATTAAAAGTAAATCACTGACAGTCAGTTTTGGTTTATACACATTTATGTTACTAGCAACATTCTCTCCATTTGTGACCTAGCTTCATGAGATAACTAAACTGAAGCCCCTGAAGAACCTGACAGGTCTGTCATTAGCAGAAAACCCCATCTCCAGCCTGCCCCATTATCACCTCTTCCTAATCTTCCATGTGAGGTCACTGGAAATGTTGGATGGACAACCAATCAGTCCACAGGAAAGAGAGCAAGCACATCAGCGCTTTCACATGGGTACGTCATCTTATCTTCTACATTTATTTTATCTTCTTTTGTGCTTTTATAATCTGAACACTTTTTGTTCTGTCCTTATAGAGGAAGTGGAGCGTTTGGAGCAAGAGCTTGAGTTGAGAGCTGAAGAGACTGCACAGCTTCAGAGAGAGCGTACCACAGCCCTGGAAGAACTAGAGCGGCGGGAAACGCTCAACCAAAACCTGAGGCAACAGCATCAGGAACAACAACGGAGCCGTGAGGAACTCCGGAGAGAACTTGACACCAAATCTGAACTGGTGGGTAATGGCGTCTTCACTGTCATCAACCTCAGTGTGAATAGGGTTGACCATTTTGTCCTCCAACACAACTGTAATATCACATGTAAACAATATTTTAATTTTAGAGCATTTCCTTAGGCAGCACCATCTAAAGAAAAACCTCTTTTTAAAGCCAAATGAAATACAATGCTTTTTACATGCACTGGTCAATTTGGAGATTTTGGGCTATTTTACCTCCATAACATGACTAGTGGAAAGAAAAGTAACAATTACAATACGTTTCTATAAAGGCTGTTTCTAATAAATTTTTTCTCATGCACTGAGCCGAACATTCCCACTTCAGTAGCACTTACATACACCAGACTTTCCATTTTTTTTACAGAGAGATTTGTTCATATGTCAATCCCATTTATTTATATAACATTTTGTTCCTAAAATTTTTTTTTCGGCTGTTACAGCATTTTCTGATTTATGATAAAAAGTGAAAGGAGGTGTCCAAAACCTGCTCTGCGAAACCTTCAACACTTTTATTTCTTCTATTGTCATCATTTGTAAGTCGTTTTGGATAACAGCGTATGCTAAATGACTAAATGTAAATATGTCAACAATATGAAACAGGAATTTTGAGCCAGGCTTTAACAAATGTTTAGATTTCTGTTCTGGAAATGTATGAAAATTAATTCATTAGATAATGTACATATTTAATTTAATGTTACATATTTAATTAGATAATGCCTCATTTGCATATTCTCATAACATCTAATAAAAACCAGTTGTCTTAATGTGATTAATCAACTGGGGAGGTATTGTGATATCTGTTAGTTAAAATATTTGCACTATTCACCTGTGGTGTCTTGCCTTAATATACTGTCCTGATGTTATTATGCAGTTCATCACTGCATATTAATCCAAAGAACCAAAGAAAAAATGATTTCTCTTAGTTCTTCCTCAGAATTGAATAACTTGCTCCATATCTGAAACATCTTGACTTATTATGGAAATAATGTTAGTGAAAATAATGTCATGTTGACTTTAATCTTTAACTTCCTTATGTCTGCTTTCAGATTAATTTCCAAATCTCTGTGCTTACAAACTCACAGTGAGCCCAGAGATTCACTTTCCAAAATGTCCCTTTCCTGTCTTTTCTAGACAATTTCCTGTTCAGCTCTCTCTTCTCACTCCATGCTTTTGTCACCTGCTCTAAAGGTACTTTGTGAATGGTGTTGAAAATTGTTTTGTGTGTGTGTATGTATGTGTGTGTGTTGTTGCCTCATTGACCGTCTTTTAAACAGAACTTCTCTGAGAGCCTGCATTTGAAAAAAAAAAAACTGAAGCTGTTCAAACTATTAGAACAGCAAATTAAAGGGGTCATATGATGTGATTTAAATTTTTCCTTTCTCTTTGAATTGTTACAAGCTCTAATTCCTTCACTGCATTGCACAGTATTTATTTATGTATTTATTGTAAACAATTTAAAAATTAAATGACAGGAATATAATCTACCAGTCAAAAGTTTTGAATAATTACGTTTTTTTTTTAATGTTTTTGAAAAACATCTCTTGTGCTTACCAAGGCAGTGTTTATTTGATCAAAAATGTAGTAAAAAGTAATGTTGTGAAATATAATTACAATTTAAAAGAACTGTTTTCTATATGAATATGTTATGTGTTTCCTATGTTGGCAAAGCAAATTTTTCTATTCTTCAAACTTTTCTTTTCCCAGCTGATTTTTGTTGTTGTTGTATAT